TTCGAATATTCGACTATTCGAATATTCGACTATTCGACTATTCGAATATTCGACTATTGGAATATTCGAATATTGGACTATTTAACAATGCAATTACTCACTTTTTGATTTGAATATATATTCAATTTAAAATTTCAATTGCTTCGTTTCAATATTGGAATTGCATGATACAATCTCGGATACAATATACGAAGTGTTTTCGTTGAAAATCAGGTTTCAATAAATACGATGCATTTTTGTTCGTAATGTAAATTTTACCCCTTTGTAAATTTTCCATTTAGAAAACATCTATATTATTTTAGTTTTTCTGACTCTGCGATACTCTGCATAAAAAATCAAAAATTCGCTTCGTCGTAGAACGTTCTTTTGCGGGAAGTAGAAACTTTTATCAAGAATGATTGTTAGTCGAAAAACGTCATTTTTAAAGTCCCATTTTGTTCTCTTAATAAGGTCCTCTATCAATATTTGACTATTGGAATATTAGACTATTCGAATATTCGACTTTTTGACTACATATTCGGATATTCGACTTTTCGAATATTCGACCATTCGAATATTCGACTATTCGAATAGGTATTCGAATATTCGACTATTCGAATTATTCAACTATTCGAATAAAATACCAAACGACTATTTGAATACTTGAATTTTAAAAATTCCGAGCCCTACATTAAATGCCCAAAATCAATGCCGTTTCGTACTTAAATAAAATCACAAAAGATATAATTAGTCTGTAGAGTCAATTAAAATAATAAACAATTCGAAAACAACAAACAATTTAAAAATAAGAAAAGAAAAATCAAAGGAGACAAACCGAATTAGGAGAATATGAAATTTAGATTTGGAATACAAACAACAATCATGCTGAAAAACATAATAAACATTTAAAAATTTGTAAAAAATCAAGCCTATGAAACTCCTAAAAGTATCCCACTGAGCAAGAAACATACTTGGGATGTTTTGTAACGTTTTTAAAATGAAACTCAATGAACGTTTTTTATGTAACGTAGTAAAGTCATATTTGTTACTACTTTTCAAAACGTTTTGCATATTCCTGTTTTCCGAACGTTATTTTGCAATTGTATTGGTTCTGTTGTAAAACCAACGTTCCAATAACGTGAAATAAATGTTTACCCTAGCAACGTTGAGTATTTAACGTTATATGGACAGTATATTATTTACATTCTTGCTACGTTTCACGTGTTGACATGTTTGTGACGTTTTCTGTTCTATATTTTCGTTTCGTTTCGAAATAAACGTTGCAAATTCGGAACTAACTTGTTTGGTAATATAACATTTTTAATGTTGTTAGGTACAACATGCTTGATACGTCCTAAAGGATGTATCACTTTAATTATTTTCGAACAATGCCGCAGATTTGTTCAGATTCAGGTTAGATGTTAGGTTAGGTCAGGCCTGCTGTGTGAAAATCGGTGTTTCTGGATTTTTATTAGGTAAAATTGGGTAAAATAGTTATTTTATGCAATAAATAGTTATTTTTGTATCAAGGGCGCGAAATGCTACTTTGGTGATCGAGATCTGATTTTTTTAACGAGGCGTAGCCGAGTTAAAAAAATAGTCGAGATCACCAAATTATTTCGCGCCCGAGTTGCAAACAATATTTTTTCTACAACTCCATTTAAATATCGATCATTCGAAGCTAAAATTGCATTTTCAAATAAAAGTAGGTGAATTTTAATTATTTTTGGTTTCCTGACAGGTATGTGTCACCATGACACCCAGTGTGCGAACTAGCTATTTCGCGCACACGTGCGCGAAATAGCTAGTTCGCGCACGGCGTCATGGGAACGTTAAAAAATCAATACCTGGGAAAAAAAGTGTCACTTCGCAAACTGTCATGAGTGTGCGAACTTCATCATTTTTTGACAGTTGTAGAAAAAATAATTTTAATTATAGATATCATCTTATATACAGGGTGTCCCCATTCTTAACAAAAACCACTCGTGCTTCTAATTTTTCCTGTCGAAAAATCTAAAAAACTCGTTTGCAAGTAATTTGTTTACCAAAATACTGGCGTGAAATTTTTTTATCTATGAGTATGTGGAAGGTAGCACTTTACAGCACATGTGCGGTAAAGTACTTGAAATACAAAAATATTGACACTCGAAGGTGAAATTTTGTACCAACACATGCCGAAAGTGCCTTTACCGCTCTTGACGCCATGACAACTGCTGTCCCGTGCGGTAAAGTATCACTTTCCGCACTTGTTACGTAAATACCTATTATAACGCTCGTACCTGTTATAGTTATTCACCTAACAAATGAGGAAAGTGATACTTTACCGTACGCAACGGCAGTTGACCGAACGACGCGAAGTGGAGTTCGGTCAAGCCGTTAAGGGCTTTACCGCACGCGACAGCAGTTGTCATGGCGTCAAGAGCGGTAAAGGCACTTTCGGCATGTGTTGGTACAAAATTTCACCTTCGAGTGACAATATTTTTGTATTTCAAGTACTTTACCGCACGTGTGCTGTAAAGTGCTACCTTCCACACACTCATAGATGAAAAAAATTCACGCCAGTATTTTGGTAAACAAATTACTTGCAAACGAGTTTTTTAGATTTTGCGAACTCGGATTACCGATTACCGTCTGCCGATTTTTCAGCGTTATTTCCACAATAAAACCTTTTCTTCTCTCGATTGCCAGACAAAAACTAAACGCGGAAGGTTCTTTTCTTTTCTCTTGAAAGTTGACACTCATCCCCATTTTTTCAGCTATTGAAAAGCATCTGGTATTTTTTACGGGTGAATTATTGTCATTGATCATGTTAATCAATTTTTTTCTCCTCCAAATTTTCGAACAAGGAGCAGGCATTAAAATCACCTATATTCTCATCAGCTAACTAGCCACATTTAGCCCTCAAAATGCCAGACAAAAAAAATGACTCCACTAAACAGTCCCTATCTCACAGTAGTCTATTACGTGTACCAATAAACATAAATTTAGTTTTATTAATATCAACCTTCAAAAGATTCGTTGATGCATAATTGTTTCTTTTTATTTGGGGCCTTATGAACATTTTCCACCAACAAATCTAAATCTTTTGAAAAGTCGTTGAAAAGACTATTATCAGTGAAGTTGTGTTATTTATTGTCATTTATTACATCTGGCAAATCGTTGATTTAAATAATGAACAATGGTAGACCCAAAACACTTTGCTCGGTAATCATCTCTATTGAACTAATTTCATTTAGTCCGGTTAATTGTCTTCTTGATGTCAGATAAACTGGTCAGATAGTCTCGAAACCATCTCAACACCACATCCCCAATTCCAATTTTATCCAGTTTCTTCAGTAATCTGTAATCTAGGCCGATCGACCAGCTCAAAGGCTCTCTGTAAGTCCAGAAAAACCGCCAGTACCAAGGTCATATTTTGTTTTAATAAATTCATCAATGTACAGGGTGATCCAGTATAAAATGAACACCCCCTACCTTTCCATTAAAAAAATTGATTTTTGAAAAAATCAAGATAGCCATGTTGTGTATTTTGCTTTAACAAAAAATCAATTGAACTTTGAAAAACGTTTTCAAATTTTTAGAAACAAAATACACCAAATGGCTATCTTGATTTTTCAAAAATAAGTTTTTAAATGGAAAGGTAGGGGGTGTTCGCTTTATACTGGATCACCCCGTTACTGTGTGATCATCTATCTCACCTGTTTTGAAGAGATACCCAGAAAAAGTCGAATGTGAAAGTGTAGGTAATATCAGAAACTTTGCAATGAAGTTAGTTACAAGTATACAGGGTGTGTCACAAAAGTGTGACAAAGCAAAGTTATACTTTTTCAAATGGAACATTCATATATTATTGACCCATTGAATTAGCCTTCCAACCCTGATTCCGTTCCAAATATACTAGGTTTTTCAGGTTTATTCATCATAGTCCAGTCTCTGAATATCCCATTTTTGGAATCAGGTTTGAAAGGCTAATCCAGTGGGTCAATAATTTACAGGGTGTTCCATTTAAAAAAAATTAACTTTGATTTGCCACATTTTTGTGACACCCTGTATGCATGTAACTGACATCATTAAAAACCTTCCGATATTCCAGGTATTCTTCCGATCTGAACCAACTAATTGTAATTGACGTGTCTCGAAATACCTGGTGTGTGCGCGCAACTCGTGGGTTGCAGGTGAGCGTCCAATGAAAATCGAGTTTGTTACGGGCTTGCGTTATATTCGTATTCAGAGACGAGTTCAGAATTAATCGTTCCTTCTTTCTTTGTAACGTGTAATTCGACAAAGAACAAACTAATACTTTACGTATTACTTGAACTTATCGCAGTGTCCTTTAAGGTTATGTTAGAATATACTTTGACATAATCCTTTGCAATTTCATTGTGTGATGTTGCCGGATGAAACATTTATCAAAATAAAAGTGCCATCGATGGTAACATACACTTTAGAGCTCTTCTTTTGTCTGATTTAAGGCGTTGTGAAACACTAGACAATATATCACTTCTCTAATGTTATAATGTTCGATTTGTATTGTCTAAATTTGTTCTGCAACAATACAATCTGGCTACACTGCAGCCACGAGTTTCGCGCGCATGTCATTTTTTATTACTTTCCAACTTGTATTTATTATAATAAAGCTCTCTTTTTCTATTTCTGCGAGACACCTCAATTACATAAGGTTTGTTTATGAGACGTCAAAAAAACAGTTAGGGCCAATGAAATTGTTGTAAAACCAGATGAAAATTGTTTGAAACAAACTTCAAGTGATTGCGATCAGTTTGTTCAGATCGAATGAATTCCTCTATTTTACTTACAACTTTCACGCTTGACATTTCAGGGTATCTCTTCAAACAGGTGAGATAGGTGTGAGTGCAAAATATAGACAATCACCCGGTACACTTCTCCTGAAACAGTTTCTGCTGGACAAAATAATGTTCAAGCAAATATTGATGGTACTTATAATGAACTGTCAGAAGTCCTATAATGTTAAGGGATGTTACATCATTGACCAACAAATCTTTTTATTCCAACTGACTGATATGTTACAATTCAGTCAATCCAGCTGGTGATACCACAGAGCTTTCTGTAGATGAGAATCATAAAAATGTAAAACTTAAATTGAAAAGCTCTGCAGCAAACTATAATCAAAAACTTACCATTTTTACATTCAGGGGAATTTGGACATTTGGAAATTTTATGAGATATGAGGACATAAATTATCATACAAGAAATTCCCTGCTGTTTGTAAGTTTAATGGCTGAAAACCCATTATAAAGTGTCAGAAAACCATCTGATTTGAATTTATAGGTAAGCCTTTTTCTCATTCTAGTTTTCAAATGCTTGTGTGGGACTGTTCTCAGTATGTTGTCGAGTTTGAATAATTTAACTATAAATATTGTTTGTTCTGTAATTTTATCAAATTTTATATTTGACATCCAGGCCCTGGCTGCTCTCAAACCATCACAAGATACGGCACTGCTAATAAGCTACTCTACCTATCACAAAAAGTAGAGGATTATTATTATTTTTTTAATTGATTTCAAGGCATTAATAGTGTAGATACATATATTATTTTAAAACTATTATGATATTGAACTAACAATAGTAAAGTTAATAGATCACAATTTATTTTTATTATACAAATAAAATATTTACTTCCATATCCAATATCCAATATGGAATTTTGAATGAAAAATCAAGGGAATGTTTTACTTCTTAGAAATAAAAATTTAATGATGAATCTTAAAAAGTTAGTTGTGATTCTGTCCAGCAGAATCAATAAGCTAAAAATAACTCATTGCACATATCCAGATAAGTTTTTTCTTCAAAATTTCCATCTTCAATTATCATAGCACATGAATTCTCATCTCAAACACATATGACAATGATTGTCCATAACTTACCAATCAATTGTTATTGTTATTATTTTTTTGCAGATAACTTATGCCTCAATATTTGAATTTCATCACATTGCCCTGTAATTTTTTCATTCTGTGCAGCCAAGTGTTCTGTCATAGCATCAAGCTGACTTCTATAGTTTTGATTTGTTGTTAGTAATTCTTCGTAACTTTTTTCTAGTTTCTTTTGGAGTTCGCTGAAGTCAAAAATCACTGCATCCAACCTAAAATAATCAATTTAAATTGACACTTGAATAATATGTGGATTAAAGTGTATCTTGCCTGGATTTCAAAGCTTGATTTTCAGCAAAAATTGATTTGGTCTCGGATAGAGCCAGTGTTTTTGCTTCCAACATATCCCTTAGTTGGGTTTCGTAATATTCTGTTAGTTTTTCATTTGAAGTTGGTTTACTTCTCAAAAGCTCACATTCTGTCTTTAATTTTTCTGCTTCAGTTTTCCAAAATAATATCTAAAAATTTATTAATATATAATTTGGTCCTGTAAAGGCTGGTTCATGAATGTTATATGATGCTATAGACAAATCAATGGGGGCAACTATGTAACTCAGCTGGTGACAAAACCTTATACTACAATAAGGGATATTATACATAGTTCAGACTGTTATGTGAAGGATTTGACCGATAAGGACTATGTTGTTTTAATAGCAGGAGTTAACGACACTGATATCCGAAAAGATGACATAATATTGCTGTCAAATAAGAGTTTTAGAACGAATTTAGTCTGCAACGTCCCATATAAAAATAACTATGGCAAGAAATGTTTGTATGTTAGGAATGTAAATCAAAAACTTAGGGAAGTTGTTCAAAAACCACAAATTTTCTCTATTAACATAGGTTTTTTGGATTTGGTTGGTAATTTATCTCATGGAGATTTTTGTATGAATTCCAACTTTTATTTAAATAAGTACGGATTGTTTAAGACTGGAAAATTGATAAAACAGTGTGTTCACAACTTTAATGTAAAAAGCATAACAAATCTTAAATATGTCCCAATAGATGACAATATCTTTAGTATTAATGACGACACTATTTCAAAGGGTAATAATTTTCCAGAGGTAAATTTTTTAGACCAACCTCTTCCACAAACTGCGCAAGCGCGGCACAAAACATAAAAAATAATAACACCGCCGTCTCCGTATTTCTAATTAATATACAATCGCTAAGGAACAAACTTGATGATTTATATCTGCTGTTGGAAGGTAACAATTTTCCAGCTTTCTTACTTATAACTGAGCATTGGCTAGCAGAAAATGAACCATTTTGTATTGAAAATTATACTCTGGTGTCTCTCTATTGTAGAATTTGTAAAACTCATGGTGGAACTGCTATTCTTGTCAATAAGACATTTTTACAATCTTTTGATGTTACCCCCATAACAAAGTTTAATACCCTTTTAATTGAAAATGTTTTTGAATTCTCCTTGTTATATAACAAAAAAAATAATTTATATATTTTGTGTATATACAGGCCCCCCTATTATTCAAACTTAAAGCAATACTTTGAAAATCTTGAAATTCTTTTATCAAAACTGCCACCCAAGGCAGGTTTGATACTAGGGGGAGACCTTAATATAAATTTTGATAATGACAGATCAGAGGCACAGCAAATTCTGTCTAACTTGTTTCTATCATTTGACCTAGAGATGTATGTTAACGAACCTACTAGAATAACTGTTCATTCTTAAACCAAAATCGATTATCTGTGTTCAAATTTTGTCTTAAAGCACATGTTTGTTTGCTGTAGTGTAATTCCTGTAGGCATTTCGGATCACGACGCAGTTTTAGCAAAATTTCAACTTGCGATAAATAAACCACCAAAATATAAAGTTGGTAGACTACTTAGCTGCAACAATTATAAAAAATTTAAAGATATTTGCAAGGAATTAAATTGGCCAGCAGTTTTGAATTGTCAATCACCACTAAATGAATACCAAAAATTAGCAACTGATGGATTTTTAAAATCTTTTCCATTACAAAAAATTAAGCAAAAGAAAAAAGCTATTAAAGTTTCATCAAAAAACATGCGTTCGTTACAAAATATTCGCAAATTTACTGATTGTCCTCAGTTCATAAGTTATTTCTGCAGATATAGAAAAATTTACAAAAGTGTTTTAAAAGCAGCCGAGGAAAAGTTTTATCAGAAGAATAAACTGCTCCAAAAATGCTAGCAAAGAAAACTGGAAAATAATTAATCAGTTAACTGGTAAAAACTCAGTTCTTCAAACAGATGTTAAATTAGATCCCAATATTCTCAACAACTTCTACTGTAGTGTTGCTGATACTTTACAACAAAACTTGAAAAGTAATGTGGGTCCTGGTTCTTATTTATTGGATGTTAAAATAAATGACACATTTGTACTGGAAACTACAAACGTATTAGAACTTAATGAAATCTTTAGAGGAATAAAATAGTATATTGTTATATTAGGAGTAGAAGCTTTACTTTTTTGTGCTGAAGCAGTAGGTTTGCGAGCCGAACGTAGTGAGGCTTGCAATACTGCTGAAGCACAAAAAAGTGCTTCTACTCCGTATGCAACACGCTATTTTTTCTCCAAACGAATGGGGTAAGGTCGGGGACAAGTGGATGGTTAAGCGGCAGTAAAAGTACGAGCGGCACTAAAAGTACTTTTGCTGCCGCTCCAGCGGCACTAAAAGTACTTGTACTGCCGCTGCGGTTGCCTAGCAGCATAGAAATTAAATTTCTACCACCTCGACAGGTGTTAACCCGCTGGATTTGCCTAGCAGCATAGAAATCAAATTTCTGACATCTTGACAGGGGTTAACAAAGTGACGTTTTTTTGACGTTTGGAGAAAAAACAATAAATCCAGTGGGCACGATAATGTTTCAATAAATTTGCTTAGAAACTTGCCTGATAATGCATTATATGTCTTGTCTGAATGTATTAATATTTCATTTTTAACAGGAGTATTTCCAGACTGCCTGAAAAAAGCTATAGTGTTGCCTCTTTATAAGGGTGGCGAATTGGACAACCCATGTAATTATCGACCAATATCACTTCTCTCGACGTTGTCAAAAATAGTTGAAAAGTTAGTTAAAGAAAGAATGTTAAAATATTTTTCAAAACACAACATAATAAGTGACACTCAATTTGGATTCCAACCATTAAAGGGCTCCCATGATGCAATGTTTAATCTTTTGGAACAGGTATTCGTCAGTCTTAATGAAAGTGAGCTTGTCGCCGTTGTGTTTTGTGATTTCTCTAAAGCCTTTGATTGCGTAAATCATAAAATAATGCTTAAAAAACTAGAAATTTATGGCTTAGGAGGAATCTCATACTCATGGTTTGAATCTTATTTCTCGGGAAGAGAACAATTTGTTAAGATTGGTGATACTCAGTCATCAAACTTGGCTGTGACCAATGGTGTTCCACAAGGATCTGTGTTGGGACCAATATTGTTTTTACTGTATTTAAATTATATTAATCACTTCCCCATTAGAGCTAAAATAACATCATTCGCTGATGACATTACTCTGTCCTGGAACGGAAAAAATATTGAAGAGTTGAAAAAAATTATTTCTGAAGACCTAAATCTTGTAAAGAGCTGGTGTGACTCTAACTTGCTTTGTTTTAACTCTAAGAAAACCAACATATTGACATTTAATTTTTTTTTGATGATTTATTATTAGACACACACACAATTGAAAATAAAACTAGCTGTAAATTTCTTGGTATTCATGTTGATACTCAACTTAAGTTTAATGAGCACGTTACAAATCTAAACAAACGATTGGCAAGTGGTTGCTATGCTGTAAGAATAGCATCAAATGAACTTGGTTTGAATACTGCTAAGTTGGTTTATTTCTCGTTGGTTAGATAGATAGATAGATAGATTTCTTTATTCGATCAATATGTTTACAATTACAATTACAAATTGGTAGAGAACATTTTACCCAGAGGGTGTTGATCATGTCATTATTTACAATACACAATAAAAAAAAAAAATTGTACTTAAATCTTAAAAAACATTTAGTACAAAAAAAAAATAAACACATACATCTAAGATAAAAAAAAAACATTTAAGTAAAAAAACAAACAAGTACACCTCACGAACAAATAATTAGAGTCTGGTCATTCCGACCACTTCCAGGGTCAGCACAGGGAGTGCTATGTTTATCTAGGCAATTAGTAAAATTTTATGCTTTGCTAGAAAGAAAACAATTTAAAAAAAAAATCTAACTCAAATCTTCCACTTCTTGATCAGTAAAAAAATCGTTCAGACTGTAATAGGCTTTTGAGCTCAGAAATGTTTTAATTTTGCAGTTGATAACTCTTGATGGTAGCATACGGAGTGAGGGAGGCAAAACATTCCAGACTTTGAGAATGTTGTGTTTAACATTTTTGAGAATGTATGTAAAGTGAGCAGTTTCAGTTCTAAGATTGTCTTTGAATCTAGTACCATGACAATGATTAGATTTTAGTTTGTCAAAGATATCTGGATTTTCTGATATAAATTTGATACTCTCTGTAATGTACAAGTTAAATCTCATATCAGGTATGGCATTGCATTTCGGGGTAACTGTTCTAATAAATTGTTTGATTCTGTTTTTGTCATTCAAAAGAGAGCAGTGCGCTATTTGTGTAAGGTTGGATATTGGGAGCATTGCAAGCCACTATTTTTAAAACATAAAATACTTACAGTATGCTGTATATTTATCATGGAAACTGCTTGCCTTATGCACAAAAAACATTATGATGAGTTAGAATATCCAAGAACTTATCCAACTAGGCGGCAACTTCTTAAAATTCAGCTTCCTATACCCAAGACTGCATTGACGCAAAATTCACTAATTTATAAAAGTAGGCAAATTTTTTATCATCTGCCTGTTAACTTAAGGCAGATAGGTGGTTTTAAAAAGTTTAGACTAGAGCTCAAAACATTTTTACATGGTAAAGCCTACTATCATATTAGTGAATTTTTAAATGAAATTTTTTAATTTTGTATGTTTCATTGTTTTTTCTGCGATTGACAAGAAATGTCAGCATTTTTGACCGGTTGACAGGTCGCAAAACTCAATATTCTGGTATTTTAATTATGTTTCAATAGTTGCTAAGGAATCAATGAATAACAATACCGGAAACACTTTTTCGGCCTAGGCCGGGAAAGTGATTCTCGTACTGCTGAATAATTGGAACCAAAAGACCAACATTTGACAGGTATTTAACCGATCGCAGAAAAAATAGTATGTGTATTTCAGTGGAAAAGCACATTCTTGGCCTTCGGTGTTTGCCGGCCTCGGCTACGCCTCGCCCGTCAACTTACACCGTCGGCCGAGAATGTGTCACTTTTTCACCTAAATACACAATATACTATTGTTTTGTTCTGACCGCAACCTTTATGTTTTTTCCGAGGTTTTTTCTGTATTGGCTGTACCTTCTATATGACTCTATAGTTTGATGTAGTAAAAATTGTACATGTGTTGCTTAGGATTATGCTTTGACATTTATGTTTATGTTTATTTTTTATTTTATTGATTGTACCTCTTTTTTTTTATAACCCAATAATTTTTAATTACTTGAACATTATTTAAGATCATGCTTTGCCAATGAAATTTATTTTCCGACAATAAAGTATATTTTGATTGATTGATTGATTGATTGATATTCTTTTTCCTTTTCTTTAACTTTTTCCTTATGCATAAGCTTTTCTTTTTCCGTAAAATTTTAGGTATTTCATGCACCAAAAATTAAATAGTTTTTATCAGTCTTTAATAACGACACTGTTGACGTGTATGAGAAACTGCGAACAGTTTCAATAAGATTTCCTATGTTAATTATTGACATTATTGTTTGGTTTCATCAGGGTTTTATAAATATTATTTTCAAGTCCAGACACGTATTTCAAGACCTATTTGTTGTTTACTTTTAACGATTTCCTGTTTTTGAGGTTAAGTCGAGAAATTTGGATGTTTTCATCTACTGCGCAGGCGCAGTCGACTTTATCCATAACTTTATCGGTAAAAGATAAAAGTTAACTATTATCAATAGAGAATAAAGAAAATAATACGGAAAAGTAATGTGCATGAACACCTGGATATAAATACATGCAACTTATACATTACTTATGGATATAGATAGTGACTAAGTTACAGAAACTGAAAATATTTTCATACATGAACCAGCCTTAACTATCTTCAATAGAGAATAAAGAAAATGATACGGAAAAGTAATGTGCATGAACACCGGGATATAAATACATGCAACTTATACATTACTTGTGGATATAGATAGTGACTAAGTTACAGAAACTGAAAATATTTTCATACATGAACCAGCCTTAGAAGTTTATAATACCTACTTTTTCATCATTTTCATTTAAAGAATGCCTTCTTTCATTATCTTTCAAAGTCATTTCTTTAATTTTATTATTTAAAGCTTCATTTTCTTGTTTAATTCTAAGAAACTTCTCTCTATTAGCAGCATCCCTGTTTCCTAGTTCCTTTTCTAAATTTTTTATTTTCTCCTCTAGCCATTCTATTCTTTCTTTATGGTTCACTATTTCAATATCCTTATCTGATATCTAAAAAAAACCGGCAATTTGAAAAGCAAATTTTAAATAAAATAAAAATCTTACACTACTGAGTAACTGGGCATTTTCTAAGATTTTCTTTTGAAACTCTTCATCTAGAATTCCCAGATCTACACCATTATTTTCTGTAGGTTTTTGTTTGCCTTTCTTAGTGTGACAGTTGATTTGTAATTCTTGCTGAAGAACCGATATCCTTTTTGTCAACTAAAAGTACTTTTTCAATGTAAAAACTGTTCAAATTATAGCTCCTGTGTAAAGTACCTGCTCATTCCGAAAAGTGAGACTCTCCATTTCCTGATCATGTTTCCTCATTGTCTGCTCATGTTTCTTAATGGCATCTTTTAGTTCCGAGCTTCTCGCCTGCTCGTCTAGTACGGCCTTTTTAAGCACCGTAGCTTGAGATCTTACCTAGAACATATTATATCAGGGGAGTCTTGTTAATTGATACTTCCTGTCCATATTTTATTTTGTAAAATTTCAACTGATTGATTACCTTGGAATATTCAGCGGCTAGTCTTTGGTATTTTGTCTCCAAATCCGACTGCTTTTCCATGTTTTAAATGGTTTCTTTGTGTGTTTATTCTCCTGGTAATCACCATAAACTAGGTTTTGTTGTTTGAAAAAGAATAAAGAATCCGAAAGAAATTATTTTGACATTTTGAAAAATTTGGTTAAGTTGCACCCATAAAACAGTGTTCACATCATACTACACAGTCAACTTCGTTGATTGGCTCTAGCGGTTCTGGCTCTAGCTTTGTTCCAAGATTCCAACGTTCCAACACAGCATAAAAAACTGTGATAAAACCGTACAATGTACCGTCACGATTCTGCGCAAAACCAAAATTTTTTGCGTAAAACCCGAAATTCGCATACAGAACGGTTTCAAAACCGTTCATGGAAGGGATTTTAGCTTGTTGGGTTGGCACAAACCTTCTGTTTATCGATTCGTCTATCGACACTTGTATATCAATAAATCGAAAAAACCTCATTGATGATGGTGGCATAAAGACGAAACGTCGGATTTGCAATCTTGTAGAGTGTTATGTTATCTTGTAATAAAAGATATTTTAATGAGAACTTCAATAGTCATGGTTTGTTAACCTTGTTTAGCTAACAAAAACCACATTGACTCAATCTAAGGCTTTTGTTAACTAACAAGGCAAATACGATTGATCGAGCCGCACCCTATGATTATCCGAGGTACGTGGGTCTATACTCCGTATCAAACGAGCTTCTAATAGCTATTTACCTAACAAGTGCGGAAAATGAATTCTTCCGCACGCGGCTGCCGTTCACCGTACGACGCGTAGCAGAGTTCGGTGATGCAGCCGAGTGCGGAAAAATATTTTCCGCAAGTGTTAGGTGCAATATTTCTCCTACAGGCGTAAAAATGTAAAATTTTTCTTTTTTTTTGACGGTGCGGAAAATGTTTTTCCGCACGGCTGTCAGTGCGGAAAAAATTTTACCGCACTGATATGTCAAAAAAAAAAAGAAAAATTTTACATTTTTTCGCCTGTAGAAAAAATATTGTACCTAACACTTGCGGAAAATATTTTTCCGCACTCGGCTGCATCACCGAGCTCCGCTACGCGTGCGAAAAAAAAAACATTTTCCGCACTTGTTAGGTAAATAGCTATTTCCTACAGCCGTGCGGAAAAATCGATTTTCCGCACTGATATGCGTGCGGAAAATGAGTTTTCCCGCACGGTGCGGTAAAACTTTTTTCGGCACGCATATCAGTGCGGAAAATCGATTTTTCCTTTGATGTTTTGAAAAAAACAGACAACCCTCGGATCGCGTGCGTTGAAAGCCGCGAAAATTTTTGCGTGCGTCTGTATGCGGCGAACAGGTCCACACTCGCATAAATTTGTATCGCACACACAAATTTGTGCCGAATGCCAAGTACAACGTAAATTTTTACTAATGTGGACGCGGCTTTAGGTACATGCATATTATTAGGTCTGTTTTTTATCCTCCAGTCCTCCACTTACTTGTGCACACTAATTTATACTTTTCTGCACTGAGGCGACTGTTACTGTTACGTACTTATGTAATGCAACATAACAAACGCTTTAGTGCACAAAAGTGTAAATTAGTGTGCACTTGTGGAGGATAACAAACAGACCTAAAATATCCATTCAAAATCGTCGGATCTGCCAGGGAGTCCCCTCGAACAGGGTGAGGTGTTCCCCTTTATGTTTCCGTACTCTTTTAGCACGTAAATCCGGAGGTCTATAAACCTAGCAGTCCCAAGGTGGAAAAAAACTTCGGGAACTATATAATAATTAGGTGCTTTCCAGGTGCTAATTAGGGCCTCTAATTAAAAATGAGGTGCTCCTTTAGTTTTTGAGAAAATCAAAAAAAACTAAGGGATTGCTAGGTTTAAGAAAGCTAGTAGTCCCCTATAGTAAAAAATATTTTTTTCCAAAATTTTCTTATGTATCAGAATTAGGTGATTGATTAACTGAGTTACAGATTTTTTTTTTAATTATAAGGGGACTGCTGGCTTTACGTTTACTTGGTGTGTCAGAGTGACAAAAAAATTTCGGGATCTCTATAATAACCCTGTACAAAAGCTGCAGAAATAAAATTATGATCCCAATAAGTGCCAAATTCAATAATCTCCATTATTAAATATAGTGCCCTTTTGCCTGTTCTGATTTTGTATTACTTTCGGATTTTGCTTAATATTATAAAACCTTCATTCTGTGAAAGTTTCAGCTTGTAACCCCTAGAAAAGTCATTTTTAGAAGGCTTTAACTGCGTTGGGCACTCTACTATAATAAAATATTGTATCATAAAAACCAGTTTATTCTTTTTGAATAGCTCTATACATCTGTAGTTTTTAATTGTTAATAATATTTTATTTAAACTTAGTAGGTATGGTATATACGGAAATATATACCCATTATCCATTCACAATCCGATGTCCACAGGTACAGGTAAAATTTATCACCTATCAATGCTATTTGATAGGGAAAGGTGATAAATTTACCTGTACCTGTGGACATAGGATTGTGAATAGGATATACTAAATAATCTAAAATCCATTTTAGGTGCCCTTCAAAAGTTGTTTCCGTGCTCTGTCATCGGTTTGCCTCATGATTTTCTGCTGCAATAACTTAGTGATATTTCCGTCCACATTTGTAAGAGGCTGATTTTTTCGAATGCTCAGCTGAAAATAATTCAATCAGTTATAAAAAACTTTCACGAAGCTTGTCCTCACTTCTATTTGTTGCAAAAGTTTAATTTCCATCTCATTGTTTGTTATAAAATTTGTCACTAAACAATCTTCATGACTCCCTAATCTACCCACTCTACCTATTCTATGAATATAATCGGCAGCATATAAAGGGAAGTCATAATTTAATACATGCCTTACTTGAATTGTGTTTAGGCCTCTTGAGCCTATATCTGTTGCAGCTAAAATGTTTGTTTCACCCCTAAAAGAAAGAAAAATATAAGTTAATAGACAAACAATGGATGATAAAATGTAGTAAATGATAAAACTTTGAATATATTTTATGTGCTCTAGTAGTATTCAGTATTCACTTCATGTTACTGTCTTTGGAAACAGAGCAGGGGACCCTCATATAGAACACTTTTTTTATATAAAAGGTTATTCTTCATACAAAGTTCTGCATTTACTAAAACTTAGAATTAAATATTCAGACATCGAATTTTTGGAGTCCTATACAAGGTTTGTCAAGAAATCTGAATGATGCTTAAGTCAGTACATTTTTGAAAATATCACAATTGTTATAAAAACGTTTTATCACATGCATCGGGATGAGGGACTCATACAGGCCCGATTACTTTTCACTCGAAATTTTAGCTATGATCTCCCTTTTTGTGCTTGCGACCGCGATATTAATGTTCAAGAATCGTGCAGCCATTGTGGGACTTCTACCACAGCGTTCAGCGAGAGACGCGTCACATCAGGCTTCTGACTTGCCCTTGCCAATTCCTACTCTGACTAAGCAATCTTTGACCTTTGAAACAGAAAGATCACATTGTCTATAAAAGCGTCCAGCCGATAATTAGATATTTCACTGATTAGTAATGCCTAACTATGATCTGGGTGAGTTTTACATGGATGGATTGTGCTTCTAAGCATTTAGGCAATGCTGTTCCACGTTTTAATGTATATTTAATATTCATTTCGACTATACTGACCAATGACAATAATAACACCTGTACACACAAAAAAAGAGATAGGAGATAAACGTAACTTACTTTACAAATTGATTCCATTGTTCTATTCTTATAGCAAAATTCATATCGCCACTAAGATTAGCGCAAGGCACTCCATTTTCCCTTAAATACATTGCAAGCCATTTGCAGGTTTCATTTCTATTAACAAAAACTAGCATAGGATGTTTGTTAGTTTTGACGGTTTTCAACAAACTAGTTGGTTTTAGGGATTTAGTAATCCTAAAGAATTTTTGTGTGATATTCAATAAAGGCTTGTGGAGTCTAGGCGAGAGAACTTGCTGCATATTGTCTGCATAGGGTACCAAAATGTCAGATACTTTTTTTGGTAATGTAGCTGAAACAAGCACTAGTTGGGCCTGAGACATTCTTTTGATTAAAATTTCAAGTTTTTCTTGAAATGAATCATCCATAAGAGTATCTGCTTCATCTAGTACTAAACTTTGAACTTCTCCTAATTTATAAATCCCTACAGTAGATAATTTACTCAAAGCTCCTGTTGTTGCCACAATAATATCTACCTCTTCAAATGTAGGATTTTCCATGTTACGTTTTATTCTTCCGCCTACTATAGTTTTAATGCTTAATCCCAAAGGTTGCCCTAATTTTGCTGCCATATCTCCAATTTGATATGCCAATTCTCTGTTAGGTACTAAAACAACCACTTTCGGTGTATTTAAGGCTTTAGGTTGCTCAGTTTGTACTAGTTTTTGAATTATCGGTACGAGATATGAAATTGTTTTACCACAACCAGTTTCAGCTGCTAATAATGTATGATGGCCTTGTTGTATTGTAGGAATAGCTCTATGCTGAAACTCTGTAGCATTTTTAATACCATAATTCTTTAGTTCATCAATAATTTGTCTATTAATGCCATACTCTGTGAATGAATGCCTTTCTTCTATATTGTCGGGCAATGGGTAAACAGTAAAATGATCATGTCTGGCTTTATTGTTTGTCCAGCCCTTTGAGGCCAACGGTATTTCCTCTAATTTATCATAATATGTACCTGAATAATGATCATACTCCTTACGTTTGCAACTTATGAGTAAAGAACCACTTTCCTGTTTTCCCTTGCACTTCGGAAGGGCTGACGAGTACCAAATTTTTTGTTGGATTGTGAAGAGAGATTTTATGGTTTTACGAGAAAACGCACGACTTGACATAGTTAGGTAATTGATGATTTTCGAGAAAAATATTATTAAAAACACAAAAGTGAAAAGTGCAGGATTTATGTAAATAAATAATAAATATGATTTTTTTTGGTTATGTTATCTAAGGTTTGTTCGAACTGTTTATTCCAACACAATACGAACCCGTACAATTTTTTTGGAGTCTCGATTTTGCACAAAACCTCAAGGCTGAGTTCGGCCTTGCACTCCACGGAGCGGTACGGTATGAGCCAAGGTTCCTAAAGTTGATAGGTTGCCTGATAATGGGTAATTTGATGATGCATCACCTGGGCTGCGTTCAGATTGAACGTCGGGTGTCGCCCGAGCGCGTTCTGACCGTTCAGATTGCTTTGGGTAAAATTTACCCAGCCGTTCAGATTGTCAGTAGATTTTTACCGGACGACGCCCGGACGCACACTTTTGCGTCCCATAAAATAGCAAGATAAAATTTGCCCCGCATGCGCGTTTGTGTTCTAACCTTAAATAATAAAGGCAAATATTGTAAATAATTATTTTTGCGAGTTATGGTGGGTTTATCCAAATTCTTCGTTATCCTCATCAACTCTATTTAAAAAAAAAGTGGCCTCTTTTTTTTTGTTTAGTTTGTGATGCTAAATTGATAGCAATCACTGACACTAGCACATCCTCGTGGTCCGAAGATGAAGCGTCCTCATCATTAAATAACTCTTTAAATATAAAGGAAGATACTATGGCTTCTTCCATAGTTAGTATTTATTTAAAAAATTTTGAAGAAAATGGCAAAAATGTTAGAATTAGTGAGGTTATAAAGAGAGAATGCGTCTTGGCCGTTCAGATTGGGCGAATCGCCGGGCACACTCGGAGTGCGCTCTCTATCGGGTGCGCTCTTCACTGGACGTCGTCCGGACTCTTCAATCTGAACGCGCCCCTGGGTGCCTTATGGAGATTTGCATTATGTTGAGACCACAGATGACGTCATAAAGTTATCCTACCTCTCAAACAACCTTGGGTAGGGTTGCCAAATTTTCAAAATTGAAAAGCGGAAGGTAGTCCATAGAAGGGAAAAATGTTCCGCCGCGGGCGAAATTCTTTTGTGGTGCCACGCGGTGTCACAATAAGATAAACCCGCCAAAAAACCGCCCCAAAAACGGTTTCGGCACCACTCTGTATACGAATTTCAGATTCTACGCACAAATTTTACGTTTTGCGCAGAATCATGACGGTAGAATGTAGTGAATGTACGGTTCCCTGCTGAGTTGGAACAAAGCTATACCTTTGCAGTACACTAGACTCAGACGCCCAAACGAGCTACGCTCTCAGTCTTGAGTAGCTCTGTCTTCGCTGGGAATTTGAAATAAAGAAAGAGGCAAACAAAGCGCACTCGCTTCTCGACGTTGATCGTAATGCACCCCGGTTGCGCTGCGTTGCAGATTTATAAAGAAGTATTAAATTTACAGTAAAAATAAACAAGATTTCATGAAATTTCTATTTTTGGGAAAAGCGGGAGTTTTGTTTAAGGTGCGCGGGAGGCGGGAGGTTCAGTAAAAAAGCGGGAGCCTCCCGCCAAAATCGGGAGGGTTGGCAACCCTAAGTTCTTTTCACGTGCCTCCGGTTTAACTAACCGGGTTACAAGACGGTTAGAGAAATGACATACTGTTTTCCAACGGTTACCAACTGACGTGATGGATAAGTACCACTCGAATTTGAGCGGTATTCTGCGGTTTGTTAAACCGGAGCCACGTGAAAAGGGTTTTAGCCTTGGGTATGAGCCTTGACATCGTGACGTCATACGCGGTCATAAGCCCTATGCGAAAGAGAACACTCTGAGAGCTAAAACGAACAGGATCTTATCGTTTCGAGCACGCTCAGAGTTTACAGAGTGTAAAGCCGAACTCAGCCTAAAATTTGAACATAGAATCCGAAACTCGTATGAAGGCTTGGACACACCTATCATGCATCATTCCTAGTTCCGATTGCGATTCTTGGATTCGAGAGTGCCGAGAGGAGAATAGTGCTCACCCCTTTTCGATCCGATTATTGGATCAACATCGGACCGGAGTCGGATCGGCGGGGTGTATGACAAGTGCGTCCAAGCCTTAACGGAGTGATTTCGGAACAAGGGTGGGTTCCGTTCCCAAACCAAAGTCGCTTTCCAGTGACGCATTTTCTTTAAGCACTCCTGAGCTGCTCTAGAGAGCCCTTGGCTGTTTATAGGCGTTCCAGTGCATTAGAGTTTCGCGCACCTTAACTGTTTGTTTTTCCTCTGCTCTGCCCTCTCAAGCAACAGTAATTTTATTCGTGCATCAGAAACACGACGCTTAAAGTGCGGTCCAGTGAAACAACATGAGGTGGGTTCGGCTTGCTCACTTCGTGCACTCCGAGTGCCTCCATTCGAACTCCAGCCGTTCGGGTATTGTTTTTTTACCGTATTAGGGGTGACTCCATTAGCTCTGTTCTTACTTCACTCCAACTCCGCCGAACCCAGCTAGGGTTGCGTTTAGAAATAGCACTCTGAGTGTGAGAGTAACCCCAGAGTAGCTCTGAACAGTTCATAAATTAACAGGTGTTTACACGGAGCGTTACGCTGGAATCGTTAGAAATCGATAGTTGACCTGCATAGAGTGCGCCCAAATTACCCTACCCAGTCTCGATACACGACTCGACAACGAGACCGGCCCTGTCGTCTTGAAAGGTATGATTCCAATGAGATTCCAACCTAGAATCGTTGGAAAAATCGTCTCGTTATCGAGTCGTGTGTCGAATCGTGATTTTAGAATCCCCGAGTGGAGTGCAGCCTCGTTTTTGGTAATCGCCGCCATATTGGTATGTCACCATTTCCGACGACATAACTAAGTCGTCAGCTGTTTAAACAGCCTACGTCAAGCCGCGGAATAACATGCTGAACGTCACAACTGGTAATTTGATGTAGGGGCGCGGAAAGGGGAGAGCACAGCACAGGCCTTAAGGATAGGCCATTCTGTAGTAGTAGTAGTGTGTATCATCCTTGGGAACGTGTAACCGTCATTGGAGTAATCGTAACCAAGGTTGGAAACGGAATGCACCCTAATCATGGGACACGTTGGAACGGAACTATTGCGGGGGTGTGATCCTAAAAAACGACTTAAGCTACTTAAATCAAGAAAAAAATTCTAAGATCTCTCGTGAAAACCGCAGCAGTCCTATATTCAAAATAGTCTCCAAGCAAATTCCTTGTGAAGGTAAATTATGCAGGAACTTGTGATGTCACAACCCCCGAAATCGCAGTCTTCTGTTCGTTCATTCGTCAGTGAACCGTACCCCATACTTTGAGTGGTTGCAATTCGCTCTGGGAGATATTTGTCTTTTGTTTTGGAAAATTCTTACACGTGTTAATACTGGTCCCTGATAATCTAGTGTGACGTCACAAACACCTAGTTGTAACTTTTTTTTTTTTTTGTGGATACACTCTATAAACACCGTTAAGTAATTACATGTAGAGGAGGAAACATTCACAAATACAACCATGCACCTTGCCGGGACTTGAACCCGGGACCATCGGCATGCGAAGCAGATCACTATCCACTACGCTGCCTAGGTCAAAAAATAAACTACTTTTTAATGAGTAAAATTTCTTGAAAAAATTTTTCAATAATTTTTTAACTAAATTAGTATAAAATTATTTTACAATAAAATGAATAATTCTTTAAACCGCCCTAACTCGAAAACGGACCATCGTAGCAAGATGCGATTTAAATACTTATTCTTAGATTTTTTTGCATTAAAACTTTCATTTTTGGGTCACACCCCCTTTAAAGGCGGTGACAGGATGGAAACAGATTCCAGCCTAAGTGCAGTGCAGATTCACAACCGTATTGTCCAAAACTGTTAAGTTCATGTTCAATCTATACTTGTTTTCCGCCACATTTGACGGGGTTCCCTTTTAATTTTGCAAGTTGGGTATTTTGCCCTATAAATGCAGGCTGCAAGCTGCAACAAGTGCAGTACTCTCTACTATCGTCATCACTTGATAAAATTGAATCTGCATATCTTCCATAGAAAAAAAACCATACCAACACGTCTGTTCTAATTCACTGGTTCTAATAGGTCAAAAACCGGTCCTTTGACGAACGGTTTCAAAATCACTCTATACACGAATTTCGGGTAATTTCGGATTCGACTGACGTACAGATTTTTGCAGAGTCGCGACGGTACTGTTACTGTACTGTTTCTTGCCTGGAAGGAAGCTATTATAGGAACAAGATACAACCCAAAATGCAAATCCTTGCCAAATAAGCTTACCCTCACAAATTGGAAATTCAAGAAAAACTGCGTTCATTTGGAACAGATTCTTTTGCTATTCCGAGTCATTCAAGATTAGCTTTGTTTCAGCACAGCAGAAACCCTTACAATAAACCGTCACGATTCTGCACAAAGTCGAAAATTTGTGCGTAGAACGCGAAATTTGTGTACAGAGAGGGATTTCAAAGCCGTTCTTGGGACGGTGTTTGACCTGTTGGAACAAACCTATAGGCTGTTCATTTGTACTTGCTCTACCTGCTTGAAAAATCAGAAAGATCTGTTAGGAGCTGCTATTTATGAGCTTATATGGTGGGACAAGTGAACGCCGATCTGCTGCTGAGATCTGCTTCAATCTGCTTGAATCAAGAAAAGCAGTACGAATGAATACCCTAAAAGTTGAACTTTTGACATCACAAACATGAAGTTTTTATACACTTAAGTTGAAGTTAGTACAACACAAACAACAAACGATACAAGATTCAAACTGTGCCAGAAGAGGCCCATACCCGATCTCATAAAAAGTTCCAGGTTGCATTTAGGCAGAACGTACAACCGATTCAAGGATAGTACACACTGTGATGATCCAGAAATTTGACCCTATAATTACAAAGTCTTTACTGTAAAAATTAAATAAATAATCAAACAATCAAAAACTTAATTCCGGTATTTTTAAATCTGTGTCGATAAATTAAGAAATAAAAACCAACTAAGCAATCGTATAGCGACACCCGGAAGTCGTTCATCTAAATTAAATTCTTAAAAACTGATAAAACCGAGGTGGTGTCATCCTAAAATCCGATTCAATGAACTTTATTTAGCCAAGGCCTTTCCGTTTAACACACATTGAGTCGAATGAATTATGGATTCTTGAACCCAAAACGTCTTGACCTCAATAAATCAGATAATTGCGACATAATTAGTCGATTTTTGGGCTACAAAAATGATATAATATTCAAGGAAATTGCATCATTCTTTTAATAATAATGAGGCCGTCCAATGAAATTCGGATTCCTAAGTTAACGACCGCCTATATTGACGATTTGGGGGAAATTTAATAATAATTTTGTGGGGAGAGCGATTTGATATAAAACTCGCGGAAGATAGTTCCCGGTGATCTGAAGATAGTTCCCAGTAAACAGTTGCCAGAAAACAGTTGAGTCGTCCATTTGAGTTAAAGTCTGTCCAGGTTCGCGAAAAGTTTCTTTTATGGCTTATGGCCTCGGGTATAAATTAACTTAGAAAATTTACGGAAAATCGAGAAAGTAATAACAGTTGAAATTTCGTTCAATCAATTATGTGCATGAAGCTAAATATTTTGAGTAGTTAATTAAATAATTTTACGTGTGTTTTATGG